GCTCTGTTGCCCAGGCTGGAGTGCAGTGGCATAATCTTGGCTCACTGCAACCTCCGCCTCCTGGGTTCAAGCAATTCTCCTGCCTCAGCCTCCTAGTAGCTGAGATTACAGGCACATGCCAGCAAGCCTGGCTAATTTTTGTATTTTTAGTAGAGATAGGGTTTCGCCATGTTGGCCAGGCTGCTCTCGAACTCCTGACCTCAAGTGATCTGCCCGCCTCAGCCTCCCAAAGTGTTGTGATTACAGGTGTGAGCCACCACGCCTGGCCATGCCAGAGAACTTTAGACATGACCTTAGATGTGTGCGTGTGATTAACAGATTTTGTTTATTTTAGAGATAGGGTCTTTCTCTGTTACCCAGGCCAGAGTGCAGTGGTGTAATCATGGCTCACCGCAGCCTGAAGCTTCCCAGGCTGAAGTGATCCTCTGACCTCAGTCTCCAGAGTAGCTTGCACTACAGGCATGTGCCACCACCCTCAGCTGATTTTTTTTAGTGTTTTGTAGAGACATGGTCTCGTTATGTTGCCCAGGCTGCACTGACGGTTTTGACTCTACTCACTCAAACCTCGGAGGTTGTGGTCTTGACTCTCTTTTATTAATTATCTTCACTGAGCTGGCCTTCTGACCTGGGTTTGTGTAATCCTAAACCAAGCCTTTCTAACCTACGTGCGGTCTCCTTTGGGGTCCTGTAGATCCCAGCTCTGCGGTTAAACAGCAGGGTGATCTTAGACCCGTTTCTTAGTCTGGCCAAGCCTCGGTTTCTTCCGTGGTAAAGGGGATACTGTGCCCAGCCTTGTAGATGCATGTAAGCGTGACTGAAACATTTGTGGAGAGGCCTGGCTGCTGCAGATGGCATGCATAATTTATTTTGTTGTTGTTTTCCGTCTTAATGAAGATATCTTAGGATTTTAATGCTGTCTCAGAACAAGTAGATCTTTGACATATGTATGGGTTATGGATTCACACCCCCGTCCCCCAAGTCCAGTTCTCACGCTCCCCGTGCTGTCCTGGGGATGAAGATGTGACTGGTAGGGGCAGTGATGATTATTTTTACCTCGGGTACATCCTTTGTTTGGGTTATCTTCCTGCTGTGTTATATCATGGCAATGTATGTTAAAACTCTAGCTTCTGGGCCAGGCGTGGTGGCTCATGCCCATAATCTCAGCACTTTGGGAGGCCGAGGTGGGCAGATTGCTTGAGGTCAGGAGTTTGAGACCAGCCTGGCCAACATAGGGAAACCCTGTCTCTACTAAAAATACAAAAATTAGCTAGGCTTGGTAGCGCACGCCTGTAATCCCAGCTACTTGGGAGGCTGAGGCACAAGAATCACTTGAACCTGGGAGGCAGAGGTTTGCAGTGAGCTGAGATGGCGCCACTGCACTCCAACCTGGGCGACAGAGTGAGACTGTGTCAAAAAACAAAACCAAAACCACCTCTAGCTTCTGGACTTGAATCAAAACTTGGGTATGTGGAACCTTTTCAAGGCTTTCTCCTTTAAGTGGGAGATGAGACCATTTCAGCTGTGTGTCAGAGGTGTGGCATCTTTGAATTTTATATCCACTTTAATTTCCAGGTTTGTGTTTTTTCTAGTTTCTCCTTGGACCAAGATGACTGATGGAAAACTCTCCACCTCTACAAATGGCGTAGCCTTGATGGGCATTCTGGATGGTCGACCAGGAAACCCCCTTCAGAACCTGCAACACGTCAATCTCAAGGCGCCCCGACTCCTCTCAGCGCCTGAGTACGGGCCCAAGCTGAAACTCAGGGCTTTAGAAGACCGGCACAGCCTCCAGTCCGTGGACTCGGGGATTCCTACCCTGGAGATCGGGAACCCGGAGCCTGTGCCCTGCAGCGCGGTCCACGTGAGGAGGAAGCAGTCCGACTCCGACCTCATCCCCGAGCGGGCCTTCCAGAGCGCCTGCGCACTGCCGTCCTGTGCGCCACCAGCTCCTAGCAGCGCCGAGCGGGAACAGAGCGTGCGCAAATCCTCCACGTTTCCCAGGACGGGCTATGACTCGGTAAAGCTCTACAGCCCGACCTCCAAAGCCCTGACCCGCAGCGATGATGCCTCTGTCTGCAGTGTGTCCAGTCTTGGGACAGAGCTGTCCACCACGCTGTCTGTCAGCAATGAGGACATCTTGGACCTTGTGGTCACGAGCAGCTCCAGTGCCATTGTGACCCTGGAGAATGACGATGACCCACAGTTTACCAACGTCACCTTGAGCTCTGTCAAGGAAACCAGTGGCTTACACCAGCAGGACTGTATTCATGAAGCTGAGGAGGGGAGTAAATTGAAAATATTGGGGCCGTTTAGTAGCTTCTTCGCAAGGTAATGCCATCTTTGCCCTCTAGAAGAGCGTGGTGGTTGAGTCCAGACCAGTCTCCTTGTTCCTGTCTCACATGTGTCGTGTGCTCTCTGTGGTGTTAGGCGGGCACCGTCTCACACAGATAACTGGGCCTTTTCCCGGAAGCCCGGAGTCCTCTGGGATTGTAAGGACTGGTCTGTTGGAGATTCTGCTCTTCACTGTCCCTGGCTCCTTTGCAGTCTGTTGTCACTTCTCTGCCTCTGACCTGCTGTGGCTGTCTCACAGGTGGCCAGCATTACCAAATCGGCAGCCTGAGCCTCTGCGGGGCCCTGTGCATTCATATGAACGTTTCTTGGGCCAAGCAGACGGCAGTGGTGAGGGTGACGCCTGTGAGTAACTCCCATTTCTAGTGCCAGCCCTCGCTGGTGTAGTGCAGTGCTGTCATGCCGAGTGTCCTGGCTGTGTCCCCGTGCTCCTGGATGTCTGTGCTCTTGTGTGCGTGCCCTGGCCCTGCCCCTGCTGTGGAGGTGTGTGCTCCGCTGCACTGCAGCCCCGTGCATTCCCACCGTGCTGAACCCGGCCATGCACCCCGTCCCCGTGGGGCCTTGTCACCCGGGTGCTGGAGTTCCTGTGTCTCCCTGAAGCCCTGTGGGGCCTGCGCCTTCAGCTTCTGCCTCTCATTTGTGCTCTCAGGCTTTTGTTCAACAAGTGCCTATTTCCTAGGCCCTGTTCTAGGCTGGTCATGTGGGGTAATATGGTGAGAGAAACGATGTTGGGTAATGACTTAGGGTGGGCTTGTGGCCTGGGGGCGGTGGGAGTGGACGCCTTCGTCACACAAGCATATGTGAACTCCTGAACTGTGGCGTGCTGGGAGGAAGGGCACGGGGGCTGTGGAGAATATGTGGAGAATCGAGATCTGTGGCCAGGTGCGGTGGGACACTCCTGTAATCTCAACACTTTGGGAGGCTGAGGTGAGTGGAACACCTGAGGTCAGGAGTTCAAGACCAGTCTGGCCAACATGGCAAAACCTGATCTCTATTAAAAATACAAAAATTAGCCAGGCATGGTGGCGCACACCTGTAATCCCAGCTACTGGGGAGGTTGAGGCAGAGGTTGCGGTGAGCCGAGATCGCACCACTGCACTCCAGCCTGGGTGATAGAGCAAGACTCCATCTCAAAAGAACAAACGAAAAAAAGAATTGTGATGTGCTCCATAGCTGCTTTTTGGAGGGCTCTGGGGCCAGGGCTTGACAGGTGGGAACATTTCTGCAGTTGACCCTGACTGCCCGTGTGTGTGCGTCTCTAGCAGAACCCACGTCAGACACTGCAGTACTGGGTGTCCCTTTGAGATGGTGTGGTGTGCCAGCTGGAGTCAGCTGGAGACTCTGACTGTGGCCAACACATTAACTTATCACTGCCTCAGTTGCTTCATCAACTAAAGAGGATCATCTCAGACAAGCCTAAGCCCAGTTCTGAGTGAGATGGTCTGTGGCGTGGCCTGTGGTTTTGTCGGGAAACCTTCTTCTCGAATGTGCTGACAGATAGGTATCTTGGTACCATGAGCACAGTTCCTGGTTTCAGAACACAGTAACTAAGCGATTGCCCTCAGTGGGAGGAACCCGGGAACTTTGGGTGAGATCTTGTCACTATCCCTTCTGAGGCTGTAGCCGTATCACGGTGTTGCTGTGGTTAGATTTGTGTGGCGGAACTTCCCTGTGCTCAGACGAGTGTGTTCAACTGTCCCCGCTTATGAACAACACCTGGTACCTGTTCCACGCGGTCCTCACGATCCATCCAGAACATACCGAATCAGAAGCTCAGCGAGAAGGGCCTGAGGATGGGTTTTCAGAATCACCTGGGCTTCTTGGCAAATCTGGGAAACCTTGCTCGAAATGGGGTTGGCCGGGAAACAGCATGGTGGAAGGAGTGTGGCTTTGGAATTCAACTGACCTGCACTGTGTCCAGCTCTGTGGCCTTGAGCAAGTTCCTTCACCTCCCAGTCAGTTTTCTCACTCCTAAAACTGTGAGTGGAGGAGCGTGGCACGTGTGCCCATTACGCTGCTGACGAACGCCACACACTCACCTTTGTCCTTGCGTGTTCTGTCTCCTCTGCCTCACCTAAGAAGTGGGGATAATGAACCCTTCCTTCCGTGGCAGTGGGGATTAAATGGGTTAGCATGTGAGAAATTTAACGCAGATCCAGACACGTAGTAAACTTTTAAGTATCAGTTGCTTGTGGCGATCATGGCCACGTTGCTGTGTCTGCCGCCGTTGTGATTCAGCTGACTGAGCTGTGTGTGTTGGATCCTCTTCCCCTTTGAAAGGAAGCATCGTTGGTTATGCAATTTCTAGATCATTTCTAAAGCTACTGTTTCTTGAAAATCATACTCAGCTTTGCGCTGCAGGAAACAAGTGTCTCTTCTTTTATTCCTTGGTTCCTGTCTCCTTATCCTTGTGATGGCTGTGACATTGTTATTGTGAGCCTCTCTGAACTACCTTTGGGAAGATAATGGAATATAATGAAAAATGACTCAAAACAAGTGATGACATGGACAGAGTCTAGGGTTTTTTTTTTGTCCTAGAGTCTTAAAAATGTTAGAGAAGAGTTTCCATCTAGAGTTCCTTTGCGGGGGTTTCTGTGCCAGAATCTTTAGAGCTCACTAAACATTTTACAGGTGAGTAAATGGAGTTACAGCGAATGTTCATCCACTTAGCCCAGGGCCTGGCCCCCAGCAGGTACCCAGAGGACTGTGGTCATTGTGAGTCTTTGTGGAGGGCAGGGCTGGGGCTAGAGCTGGTCCTCTGGGGTTCCCAGCCCTGGCTTCTGAGCCATCCTGTTACCCCACTTTGTCCCCTCACTCTCTTGCCTTCTGGTTTCCTTGTCCTCGGTGAATCAGCCTCTGGGTTAGGGAAGGACGTGTGGACAGTGTAGTCTAGGAGAACATGCTCGGAGGGAAGGGTAGAGACAGGCAGGGATGATGACCTTGGCTGCTTGATGAGGTGGCCCGGGTGAGATGGGAGGAGGGGAGTGACAGGAGGGCTGGCCAGGCCTGACCACAGCCTCCCAAAAGCCGTAGGCCCGGCTTGCTTTTGTCCTTCACCCACACTAATGAGCACCTGTGTCCCAGACTCCAGCCTGAGCTTTAGAGAGAGCCCCTGCCTTTATGGAGCTCACAGTCTGATGGGGTAGACACACAAGGCATTTCACAGGCTATGGGGGTGGGCACGAGTGCTGTTACTGTGGGTGGGGAGGGGGTAGCACTGCAGCCAAGAGTGCTGGTTCAGGAGTTCATGCCGCCTGGCTTCATCGTGAGCCCTCCTATTGAATTGCTGTGGGCCTTGTGCAAGTTACCTCTCTGAGCCTTAAGTAGGGGGTAAAACTACTGTATAAGGTTAGAGATCAAATAGGGCATCTAACTTCTTGGCACTCTGGAAGTAGTAGCTTTCTGTGGTTCTAACAGAAATATTCTCATTTCTAAAAAATAAGTTTTTTTAAAGCTTTCTCTAGTTCTCCCGTAAATAAGTTTTTTTAAAGCTTTCTCTAGTTCTCCCGTAAATAAGTTTTTTTTAAAGCTTTCTCTAGTTCTCCCGTATTGTGCTGAATTGTGTCAACCTGTTGCTGAAGAAGTCAGAGTAGGGTCTCTCCCGCTGGCCGACGTTTTGGGGTAGATGCGTCTTTGTTGTGGGCGGCTGTCCTGTGCATTGGAGGATGCCTTGCAGTTTCCTTGGCCTCCACCCACGAGATGCCAGCAGCACTCCCCTAGTTGTGACAGCTAAAAATGTCTCCAGACATTGCCAGATACCCCAGGGAGGGGCTGGCAGACTCACCCAGCCTTTGAGAATAAGTGCTGGGATTTGCTTCTTTGAAGGAAATTTACTAAAGTAATTTGAGGACGATTTTCATTTGTATAGAAGAGTGGGACCGTGTTAAGGGATCATATGAGCCTAGTGTAGATTAAGAGTATTTATCTAGAAACCCGGACAGCAAGTGTAAGGGAAAGTCAGTAACATGCTTGGGGCGCGTTTATTTTCCACAGGAGATCGAGTTGGGCTCTCTGAAGCCAGGGGTTTAATCTCCTAATCCACATTGGTCTGGAAGTTGAGAATTAGCTTTGACCAAGTACATCGTCTCTTGTGTAGCCCCTTTATGGAGCTCCCAGATGATCTGAGTGCCCATTGCTGAGGAGAGGTGTCTGAACTGCATTGAAGGATCAGGAGCTTGCCCAGTGAAGGTGTGGGGCAGAGGGAACAGCTTGTGGCAGGCTGGGAGGTGGGGGCACCTGGCTGTGTTTAAAGAACTGGAATGATGGATTTTTCCAGACCGCTTCCCGACCTGGCTGGGAGCTCCCTGGGGGCCAAGCCTGTGTCTGGTTCACCGTGGCACCAAGGGTAATTCACGGGCAGAGAAGAATATTGGTGGTTGAGAGCGGGGGCTGCTCTGACCCAAGTTGGAACCTCAGCTCTGCCATTTTTGTACCGTGTGATCTTGAGAAAGTCACTTAGCCTCTGCGATCGCCAGTGTGTACTTGACTGACATGGGGTTAATGGCACCTCTTGTAAAGAGTTAATGTGAGGGGGCCGGGTGCGGTGGCTCATGCCTGGAATCCCAGCACTTCGGGAGGCCAAGGCGGGTGGATCACCTGAAGTCAGGACTTTGAGACCAACCTGGTCAACATGGTGAAACCTCATTTCTACCAAAAATACAAAAATTAGCCGGGTTTCTGTATCCTGCACCGAAAGCTGACTAATTCAAGTAAGTACTGTGAATTTTCATTTACATGTGAGGAAACTGAGGCAAGGGGTGGTTAAGTGGTTTGCCCAAGGATACAGGGAAACAGGAATAAGTTTATGCTTCTAAGGTTGTTGGGATTAAATGGGAGGGAGTGTACATAGATGTGACACGCTGGGCACATTGCAGGCACATTAATGTCTAGTCTGTGTTTTTATGTTGCCTGACTGTAATTTATTCCTGATTTGGCTGTCTTAGAATTAGCTCTAGTGAACTGAGAGGGAACATTGTAAC